AGAGCGCTAGCCTTGAGCTGAAGAGCTGAGGGACAGCGCCCAGTCCCAGAGTTCAGGCCTCATGACTGGATCCCCCCCCCAAAAAAAAAGAAATCTAATTTTGCCCAATATTGGATTATGTGACACTTGTTTACAACCAGAATATACACTGATAATCTTTGTTTTTTTGTTTTTTTTGGGGAATCTTGATAATTAAATGTCTCTTTAATTATAAACATACAAATTTAGGGCTGGGAAGGTGGCTCAGTGGTAGAGCGCTTGCCTTGCATGCATGAGGCCCTGGGTTCGATTCCTGAGCACCACATAAGCAGAAAAATCAGGAAGTGGTGCTGTGGCTCAAGTGGTAGGACGCTAGCCTTGAGCTGAAGAGCTGAGGGACAACGCCCAGGCTCAGAGTTCAGGCCCCACGACTGGACAAAAAACAAAAAAATCCAAAGGAAAGACTGACACAGTCCAATAAAAGAAGTATACTCATTATCTGAAATGAAATGGTAACCCCTATGTACAGCAATATAATAAAATTATTTTTTAAAATTCCAAACTGTCATTCGTAATTCTAGTATATACTAAGAATAATTATTTCTTTCTGAAAACAGACTTTATATTCAGCATACACTTTATGAAAATGAAAATCTTTTTTATATTATTATTATTATTACGTTTGCCATCTGGTCTCCAAGCCAGAGAGGTCACTTCCTTTCCTGTATTTTCATTTGGTGGAAAACTCCAAACTCGATGAAAACTTGCAAGTCTATGAAGCAAAACCTAGGATAAAACAGATAACAATGGCAGAATATAAAAACACATCTTCAGAATAAAATAAACCTAGATCTCTGGCTAAAATCTTTTAAATAATCTCTTAGATATAATATTTACCTAGCAGAAGAGGAATGAACATGGGTATTTTCAAAGAAATAGGTGAAATGAAAAGGTCTACTTTTACTCCATATTCTAAATATTTTCCTATCTTTTCTTTGGACAAGAGACTTACCTTTCAGAAAGGAAGGAGACAATAAAGACAGAACACATACAGCATTAAAAGTATAGCTGCGTGAAGTTTGAATTGAAGGCATGGCTCAAGTAGTAGAACACCATCCGTGACCAAAAAAAAAAAAAAGCTGAAAGCACAATGCCCTGAGTTCAAGCCCTAGTACTATAATAATAATGATGATGATGATGATGATGATGATGATGATGATGATGATGATGGGAATGTGGCTTAGTGGCAGAGTATTCACCTAGCATACATGAAGCCCTGGATTCAATTCCTCAGCACCACATAAACAGAAAAAGCCAGAAGTAGCACTGTGGCTCAAAGTGGTAGAATACTAGCCTTGAGTGAAAGACCTCAGGTACAGCACCCAGGCCCTGACTTCAAGCCCCATGACTGGCCCCCCCAAAAAGTGTATTCCTTTCAGATTCTGGGTCCTGAGGGCATAAGGCCTAGTTTTATTTTTAAAATTAAAATGATGTACAAAGGGGTTACAGTAAGAGGCTCTATTTTTCATCTTGCCTAAGTGATCCTTGAGTCTTAGGCCACCTTTACCTGGTAACAGCTTTCCTTCCTGCGCAAGCTAGACCATACTCACCTCCCCAAGATGAAAGAAATGAGAAGGAGAGAAGGGAGCCAGGAAAGCTCAGCGGAAGGAGGGCTTCGTGTTTCCAAGCAAAGGAAATCATTAAGCCAAAAGAAACCTTTTTATTGGCTGGGTGCCAGTCTGTGTGATCCTAGCTACTCAGGAGGCTGAGATCTGAGGATCACGGTTCAAAGCCGGCCCAGGCAAGAACGTCCGTGACACTCTTATCTCCAATTAAACACCAGAAAACCAGAAGTGGTGCTGAGGCTCAAGTGGTAGAGCACTCGCCTTGAGCTGAAGGGCTGAAGGACAGCTCCCAGACCCAGAGTTCAAGCCCCAGGACTGTCCCCCCCCAAAAAAAATAAATAATCCTTTTTTGGTTAAGTCAAGGTTCATGCAATTTATTGACAAAGCAAAGAGAGAGAAAAAAAAGATAGTCAAGTAAGTGCAAATCATTTGCAATGAGACATCTTAGCATTTAATTTAACCTGAGTTCCTAGAATCTTACACAAGTTACGAACTTCCATTCTCACAGTAGTAAATGCCCAAACTGGAAGGTCAAGATGATGCCCTAGGCTCTTAATGCTCCAAAACTAAAACGGCCCTGACTTCCAGCCTCTATGCAACCAGTTAAGGAAGAAAAAAGTCTCAGAAGTACAAAAGCTCCTGAAAAGACTTCTCACCCTACTTACCCAACTTAGATCCTAAAAACAGCCTCATCACCCTCTGTCTTACTTCACAGTGCAAAGCATCCTACATTTCTGGTGGTATCAGTCACCAGAAGGAACCAGGACTCCCAGGAACTGCTACCTCCTGGGCGTGACCCACTAATGAAGCATCTCTACCACTCATTACTTCTGAAACCCTTCTTCTGTGCCACTGGAAATCACAGCCAGTTAATCACCATAATGCCCCATTTCTTTATTCTTTCCTCTGAAAGGTGCTTCTCACACTACTTCCCTGTAATATTTTCAGGAGAAGGCCATGTTGCAAACTGCAGTCCCCTGCACTATTACTACTGAGAAAAGCAGATGTCCTCTTTAATGTCCCCTGGCATTTCTGGATGACTTCTCTTCTCCAAAAATCCCATAACTGATTAAATACAACTGTGATCACTTCCTACCCTCTCTTGATTCTAGTATCTACAGAATCCTAGGTCATTCCCCTCCTCCTTGAAGACGTGGACTCTTGACACACTCATACTTCTCAACTCAACTGTCATCAAGGTGACAGTTCTCAATTATGTCTTCAATGATCACAGTTTGTACCTTACCTCAGCCACAGCTAAAATCACGCCCTTGGTCTGATCACTACAATGCTATTAAAATCTATTTCAAATTTCCATTCCCACTTTCCATCCAGTGCTTCTCTTTCAGCTCCTATCTATGATACCACCTAACCAGGATATACAATCCATTAAATCTAGCACTGATTTGTCCTTTACTCCACACATACCTTCAATTCTCACCTTGATCAGGTGAGAATCAAAAGTTCATCATTCTTTGACTTAAAAAAGTAGTCTCAATGTTCTCCATATAAAAACGCAGATTTCCTAATACTATGTACAATACAATTCCTTTTTATTTAAAAATATCTTGAAGAGTATAATTTTGCATTATTTATTTGTAAGTGTATATCTTTTCTGTGTTCTTTTTGTTTGTCTATGTATTTTTTTGGGGGGGGACATAATTTATACCTTCATTTTTTTGTCTGTCATGGGGCCTGAACTCTGGGCCTGGGCGCTGTCCCTCTACCACTTGAGCCACAGCTCCACTTCTGGCTTTTTCTGCTTATGTAGTACTGAGGAAGTGAACCCAGGGACTCATGCGTGCAAGGCAAGCACTCTACCACTGAGCCACCCTCCCAGCCCCATACCTTCATTTTTACATTGCGTGGTTTAGTCAGAAGTTTGGTATGATTATTAAAAATAGTGTTTACTACTGTAAACAGTATCTTTTCAGTGATTATATTTTCTAGATCTAATATGGAATATGCTCATGTAGCAAATTTATAATCCAACCTAAAATATTTTAGTATTGTCAAGATAAACATTTCATTAAATTTCAAAAAAAAAAATTCAAAAGAATTTCCTTTCAGTATTTTCTCCAATTCTTAGCATTGGACAGAAGAACATCAAAGCACATGAACCATTATGCAATTATAATAAATGAAAATATTAAAAAGGTCATTCCTGTTACTCCACTCCTTGCACACAACATGAACTCCTTTGCACAAGAGCAAAATAATCCTGCTTAAACCCAATGGTGCCTGCACCAACACTGCCAAATGGAATGAATAAGTGTGTACACTTGCTGATTTCTCTAAAATTATAGAATCATTAGCTTCATAGAGCAATTAAGAAACCAGCAATTCTGCTGGGATTGGATACCTGCCTTGTCAGCTTTCTCACATATCTTTGTCTTCCTCTAACTCCCAAAAGTTATCTTTTGCATAGTTACTCAAGGTCAATTCCCTCCTTGCTTAGAAAAATAAAAGCAACAGTGTTCACTCACACTCAACATGGTTATACTGATGCCTATATTGTCTACCTTCCCTCTTACTGCCATGGCTGTACTACCACTGACACTACTCTTAAGAGCCATGACAAATTTCCAAAGCATCCTGGGAGATGGAAAAGGGAAGATTCCTATAGGGCCCTGAGAAAGTAGATGTCAAAACCTTAGTGGCTGGATCAACATGGTAATGAAGTATTGCAGGCTGCTAAGCTTTCCTTATCAACCTTCTTTTCCCCACTTTGCTCCCAGAGCACTTTACCTGGTCACTATTGGGAAAACTTTCCCGAAGGCTTAAACAGAAAACCTGCACACTGATGAAGGTTTCCTTACAAGATGTCTGTGAGGTAGTCATACCTCTGGGCGGAAAGTTGAATACTATCAGCTCCAACTTGAAGCATCTCCACATTTCTCATGTAAAATTAACAATGTCCACAGAAATGGTCTCAGGAATCCAGAGAAGCATCCTCTCTTTCTTTCTAGGGAAATGTCGTTTTACTAATGGGGGCTGGCTAACTTAAACCTAGGTAAAGAGACGTGGATAACCGCACAGAACTCCTCAGGCCTACCCCGTGAGCAGCTTTGGCCCTGCACATTCACTGCAAGGCTGGGCAAGAACTCATCTTGGTTTTGCGGCCTCGGGTCCGGCCCACAGCCCTGCCAGGATGCCTGCCTGCTGCACCGTGTTCCAGCGGGTCCCGGAGAGGTGGGCCTCTGCAGATGTGGGCCTTCGCCATCCTCACTTGAAGCGGACGGCCGCCCCGAGAGGCCGCGGCGGGAGGTCCGCCGGGCCTGCGCGCGGGGAGACCCAGGCCCGCGGGCGGGCGGGCGGCTCCGGGCCCGCCGCGAGGCTCACTTACCTCGCCCGCGGTGTTGGCCAGCGCTATGAGGTCCCGCTTGGGCGACCAGACCAAGAAGATGATCTCCTGCGGGAGCTGCTTCTCGCCCACCACCCGGAAGGACGGGAAGCAGGTCGGGAATCGCAACATGGGGGCGGCCCTGCAGAGACACTGCCGGAGGCGGGCGGAGGTCCAGGCCACGGGCCTTCCACCGAAAGCCCTGGCCGCGGCGGGGCCGGTGGCGAGGAGCTCCGCTCTGCAGGCGACGCGTTCGGGGAGGCCGTGCCCAGCCCCACCCTCCTCGGCCCCGCCCCGCCCCGCCCCGCCGCGCTGCACCTCACCGCACCAGGCCGCGCGCTCCGGGAACTTCCGGCGCCTGCGCCCCGTGTCCTCGCGAGAGCAATGGACAGCGCGTGGGCAAAGCTAGGCCTGGGAGGGCGTGGCGGCCATGTGGGCGCGCGCTGAAGTGGGTGGGCGGGGCCTGGGGTCTGCGTGGGCGGGGCCTGGATCCGAGTGGGCGGGGCAAAGCCTAGACCTAGCGGATGGAGGGACCAGGGCGTGCTTGTGGCTGCACTTGCAGGTCTTTATCGCTTTTCTGGAATTTTCACGGCTGTGGGAAGGAGACCGTCAGAGGTGAGGGCTTCAGAAACAGTGTAAACTTTCAGCCGTCAACAGCCCTGGTTGCTTGGAACTTTTTGAAAACCCAGCTTAAGAGAAAATTACCACCGGATGGGACTCAGTATTTAAATAATTCCAGTTCTTAAGTCAAAGCTAGGAGGTGAGACGGGTTGCTTCCAAGCTCCCTGACATTCTTGGACTCCTCATCCTTCAAACGTGTCACAGCCACAATGAAGGCAGGCTGTGGGCGCACACGGGGTTAATCCTATGGCTGCGTGAAAGGATGTGGGTTGCGCAACCAAGGCTTCCAGCCTCCCTGATGACCTGTAAACCTGTAAACCAGAATCGACCTGATGCTTCTTTCCAGAGAACACATTCCATCGTTTCTCAGGCTACCTTGTGACAGTCTCAGTTTGTAGCCTTGCCTAGCCTGGAACTCTCGACGTTTCTGCCTCAGTCTCCTGAGTGCTGGGCTAACTAACAGCTGCTCATCACCACACCTGGCCTTGTTATAAACGTACCGTTTTCCTGGACGTGAAGCTCAGGGAAATGACTTCATGGAGCTATCAGTTAACACAGTGCTATCAAGGATGAGTGTGCAACATTAATGTTAGAGGGAAAGTATGAATATCTAGGGGGCAGTACAAGACAGGAAACGGCACAGATGTGGCAGGCAAGATGTGGGCAGGAAACTGCAGTCTGAGAGGTGGCTGCAAGTGTTAGGGAGCAGGGCAAGGGCTGTTACTGAACATGATCAAAGCAATCATAGGACAAGATTTTGCTATGGTATTGCCAGCTTTTCCTTTTTCTCTCTGCCCTCAAAATGAGGCCTTTACCTTCACCCATGGTTTGCTTTCCTCCTTGTAGGAATATTGCTTTATCAAACATGCTCATTTGTGATTTTGTGGCAGAGAATCAAGCAGAAAAGAAAGGCTCAGGGAAGCAGCATTTGTTGGTGGTGGTGGTGGTGTGTTGGGGGGGGGGCCTGGGGCTTGTCTTCTTTAGGTTTTTTGGTCAAGGCTAGCATTCTACCACTTGAGCCACAGCTCCACTTCTGGCCTTTGTGGTGGCTAATCGGAGATGAGTCTCATGGATGGGCTGGGAAGGTGGCTCAGTGGTAGAGCGCTTGCCTTGCATGCGTGAGGCCCTGGGTTCGATTCCTCAGCACCACATAAGCAAAAGGAAAAAAGCTGGAAGTGGCGCTGTGGCTCAAGTGGTAGAGCGCTAGCTTTGAGCTGAAGAGCTGAGGGACAGCGCCCAGGCCCAGAGTTCAGGCCCCACAACCAGACCCTCCCCCACCAAAAAAAAAAGTCTCATGGATTTTCCTGCCTAGGCTGGTTTCAAACCAGAATCTTAAGATCTCCCCCAGAGTATCTGGGATTACAGCTGGCACCTCGCTAGCCATGCTTTTTAATGATACCAGACAGGAGGGGGAAAAGGGACAAAAGAAGTCACTAGGCTCTAGCTCATACCTGTGGTGTGTTTTCACACTATAGTATGAGTAGCTGCCTAAGATTGAGAGGGTAGGGAGGAGAGTGTACAGTTTCACACAAGTTCTCTGGCTATTTAGGGCTTTAATTCTCATGTCAAGGGTGATAGGGTGATGAGTTGGAAAGGAAAGGTCTGTCAGTAAAAAGATGATAGGAGGGTTGATTCTAAAAACATTCCTAGGGGTACTGGTGAAGGAAAGGAATCGTTGAGACCAAGTCTGGAATATTTGGGTACAGACTCAGAGACAACTCAGAGGGTAGGTATAAGGTAGTTGGGAATGAGAAGGAAAATAGACCAAAGCAAAGGAGTTTGGTAAGGACAGTTGAGGTCAAGGTGGCATGAATATCTGTCCATGATGGCCAACAGTGGGAAAGGCAGGCTTACGCGAGGGCCTGAGCAAAGACTTGGATTTCCAGGTCAGCCTCTCGACCTGGCTATCAGCCTCCTTCCTAAGTAGTTAGGATTATAGGCATGAGCCACCTGTGCACAACTTTAAGAACCATTTTGGGGGCTGGGAATGTGGTTTAGTGGTAGAGTGGTTGCCTAGCATGCACGAAGCCCTGGGTTCGATTCCTCAGTACCATATAAACATAAAAAGCCAGAAGTGGTGCTATGGGTCAAGTGGTAGAGTGCTAGCCTTGAGCAAAGGAAGCTCAGGGACAGTGCCCAGGCCCTGAGTTCAAGCCCCAGGACTGGCAATAAACAAATAAATAAATGTGCTTTCTCTTTTAAAAGATGTAGCATATCCTGAAGAATAAAACTTTTTATAAAGTTGATGTTCACAACATATTAAAAGGTATTATTCCTTTGGGGAAAGAAGGGGGATTTTATCATGCGACTGATTGGATGGATACAGTTGAAGCCGATTTTCTCAAGGGATATTTTTGCTTTACCTGGCTCCAGCAGTAACTAAAAAGTAACTAGTCAGCAGCTGACTTCCTCCAGTTGTCTCCCATTCCTGGCTTCCCATTTGCTGATGAAGCTGGCCCATCTACTTAGTCTCACTGTGTAGTCCAGATTGGTCTCAAACTCATAATCCTCCCAAACAACTGGGATTACAACTACATTACAGGTTTAGTTTCTTAGCACTCATCCATTACCATCCCTCTGTTAGTCTAGACTATATAAATACTTTCACAGTCTAGAGATTGTTCATGGAATAAAATTCACCTCTTATAGCTCTGAGATCTTCTTGCTGACTTCTGGTGTTATTTTCCCCAATCTTGCTGAGTTAACATTTATACTAAAATGCCCCAAACCAAACAGCAGTGATCTTATCGTTACTTTATTGCAATGACCTTTTTAGTTAACCCTCCAGTAATTTATCCCATGTCCTAATGTTCCCCAATTAAAATCACATTAAATAAGTGAAATTGGATTTTCCTTTGGTGGAAGCTTTCCTTACCCAAGTAGCACTAAGGGTGTTAGCATCCTCTATATAGTCAGAGCTCTGAGGCAAAAAGTGGTCTGCTGAATGGTGCTTCCATTCAATGAGTGGGTACTTGTGAGCATGGGATACCAGGAAAACATGTTATTCTGGCCACTGTTCCCCAGTCACCAAAGCCACATGCAATGGAGGAAGGCACTGTTCTCGAAACTCCAATGGCAAACTCAATGACAGCAACCAACCTCTGCTGTCAATGAGCTTCTAACCTATACAGAACTAAAATAAGTGCACTGCCATTCTAATAGGGCAGAAGTTACACGTATAAAGCATCTGTGATGACCAAAGATGCACCACTCCACTGCAGAGAGCACCAAGAAAATAATACAGGAGGGGGCAGCACACCACCAACCCTTTTAAGACTGTGGTTTTGTATTTCAAAAGTAGTTCACGCCTTCCCCCGCCCCCCATACTAAATATTTGAAAAGAATAGACACAAACTCAAAGATTTGGCTTTTTCTTTTTCTTTTGCCAGTCCTGGGGCTTGAACTCAGGGCCTGGGCACTGTCCCTGAGCTTCTTTTGCTCAAGGCTACCACTCTACCACTTGAGCCACAGTGCCACTTCTGTCTTTTACTGTTTATGTGGTACTGAAGAATCGAACCCAGGGCTTCATGCATGTTAGGCAAGCACTCTACCACTAAGCCACATTTCCATCCCCTGGTACATTAATTTTTACTATAACTAAGATTTTTGGGGGGTGGGAGGTGGGAGGAGGATAGTTAACTGCTTTCTTTTTTCTTTTTTGGTACTAAGGATCAAACCCAGGATGCTGCACTTGCTAGGCAAGCACTTTGCCACTGAGCTACCTCCCAGCCCTAATAAAAATTATGTACAATAAAACATTTGTTTTCTATAGGGATGCTATGAAAAAAATAATCAGTAGTGCTTTAAAAAAAAAAAAAGACAGGGTCACATTTCTATTGAATGGAATGAGATGGTCCTCAACAACTGGGCTCAAGCAATCCTCCTGCTGCAGCCTCTCATCTCAGCCTCCAGAGTAATGGGGATTGCAGGTGCATGCCATTGTGCAAGGCTTCAATGGTATATTTTACAACTGATGTAACCTTAAAATTAAGGAATATGAAGACGAGAATAAGTACTGGCCATCAGGACCCAATTCTCTGGCAGTCGTGGTCCCACAGGTGGGTGAGTTTCAGTGGCAAATACAACAGATTTTACTATGATATAGTGGACACCATAAAATCAGGCAATGTCCCTACCCAGGCTGGCATCAGAGAAGGAAACTCAAAATGATTTAGAGTTCATATTTCATCCTGTCATCTCCACTCTGTCTCTCCTATCATCACAGCAGTCCCCAGGACAAATGGGAAAGATAGAGCTGGAGGTGTATATCAGTGGTAGAGCATTTACCCAGCAGGCACAAGACTCTGGATTCATCCAACAGGCAAAGCAAAAAAAAAAAAAAAGGAAAAACAATGGCAACACAAAATAAACCAGGGAGACAGGAGAAGCATTTTCTAATGCTTATTAAATCCCAGAACTTAACTCATCTTTGATGTAGCCTGTGTACACCACTACCCTGTTGGTGTGGGCCATGCTAACAGCCACGGTTACCTGAAATGTAAGTGCCAGATGGTCTTGTGCTGTTAGAGCTCAAGCTAAATCCCACATGGAGGCCTCCAAATCAGTTCCACAGCAGTTATTTGGGAACAAGAGAAAAGTCACTTTGCAAATTTCAAGTCATTCAAAATGATTCCATTTTAAGGGGATAATGTTCAGATA